TGGTGGCTCATGCCTGTAATCCCAACACTTTGGGAGACCGAGGCAAGAGGATTACTTGAGCCCAGGAGTTTGAGACCAGGCTGGACAACATAGAGAGACCCTGTTTCTACCCAAAATAAAAATTAGCCAGGCACGGTGGTGTAAGACTGTAGTTTTAGCTACTTGTGAGACTGAGGTGGGAAGATCACCTGAGTCCAGGATGTCAAGGCTACAGGGAGCCGTAATTGCACCACTGCACTCCAGCCTGGGCAACAGAGTGAGATCTTGTTTAGAAAAAAAAAAAAAAATGGAAAACATGGTATCCCAAGATGACTACTTTTGAAACATTACCAATTTAAAAACAATTGTAGTACCAATACTAGAGTCATAATTTATAAGGTGTGTTTTGTATATGATTTTGAAAAATTATCAGTGGTAGAGATTAGTATCGTAAGTCATGTTTACAAAGGAGTGAGCTACTCTAAAATGCTCAATGATACATTTGTATGGACTTTACCATTTAATAAGTGCTTTGTACAAATCATCTCATTTGAGCCTAATCACAACACTGTGAGGTATGTTTTAGTTTTATTCTCAGTTTTCAGTTGAGGAAATTGAGGATTAGCTGAAAAATGATACTGGGCCAGTTGTTAAACTTCGTGAGCCTTAAATTAGCCACAAGGCAGTGTTTCAGTCCCACAAAGCCTGAATCTGAAGTCCTTCCATGCTTATACACATATTTAGACTACTAGATATCTTCATTTTACTGATGAATTTATTAAAGCTATGTCAAATTCGTCTGGATGTCTGGGACTGTCCAAACAGCTGTGTCTTCTCACCTACTCAGGATGCCAGTGATCTGGGTTTATGACATGTTTAAACTCATTTCTTTGTGTCTATGTCTTGGAAAGGGGCTGTTTCTCACCCCAAGGTTTCATCTGGTAGTCACGTGGCATAATGAGTAATGGATTCTTTTCCCCTTTTTGAAGGTATGTAGCATGGCTAGAAACAGAGATTTGACTTGCTCATTTCCAACCTCTTCCTTCAATTGTGCTTAAGCCCTGGCCTTGAAATGAGGCACCTGTTAGTGCTCATATCGCGTGATAAATAGTCAGTAAGGCAGAGTTCCTAATGGACTCCTGGGCCCCCACCAGATTCCCTCTCTATGGTTTGCTAGCCACACCTACCAACTCTCTTGTCTTTTCCATCCTCCTTCTCTTCCTCCTTTTGTCACACACTCTAAGTGTCCACAGATGTCAAGTGTAGAAAAAGCCACGTGGTGTTAATGCTTTAGTGCTGGCACAAGTGTACTTCCTGAAGAAGATATGGCCCCTCGCAGAGTTGCTCCGCAGGCTGCCCATCCGTATTTATCACTGCCTAGTGCTGATTCTTGATTCAAATGGCTTGACAACTTTTGAGCTGGCATGATGCCACCCAAGATATCAGTCAACGGGCCATCTAGCCGTATCAAGTGCGGCTGTTAAGGGCAGGAATCCTAGCCAGGAATTTCTAAGCTGCTGTCTGTGAAGAGGTTCTATGCATTTTGGCTCGGGAAAACTTCCAAAAATAAAAACTAGATACAGAGGCCATTTGTTTGGACTTTGTGAAAGAGTTATTAGTCACTGGGGAGAGGGAAAAGGCAGCAGAGGAGACAGCATGAAATTAAATCTAATTAATCATTCTGACAAGCAGAGGGAGAACTGAGCCCACTCTTCCCAGAACAATTGTTGGAAACCTAGGAAATGGAAAAAAAAAGCATTTAATCTTACTAAATTGTATTTATTTATTCAAAAATTGGAAAGTGCAGATGAAAATAAGTACATGAAAGTAAACGATGTAGTCATCCAAGGAGTATGTACACACTTTCTTAGACTTTAGATGGAAGAGGGTCAAAATGAAGACACTTGTTTCAATCTTTGTAATTGCCTTATTCCACATGATGTTTGCTAATTTAGACCTTCCTGTTGGAGGAGCAAATCCTCTGCTCTTTTAAGTCAGGGCTGTGAGTGACTTTGAGGGTCTGTGAAGTCTCTCATCAGGGCATGAGGGGAGTTGATATATACCTTTGTTAAGAGCATGCGCTCTTGAGTCAAATAAAACTGGAATTAATCCTTGCACCCTCACTGGAAAAATTGTTTTCCTTCTCTATGCCTGTTTCTTTGTCTATTAAAAAGGGCTCCTAGTGATTCAACTTCATAAGATTATTGTGAAGAAGAAATAAGAAATTACACAAAGAGCTTCCTGGCATTAATAAGTTCTCAATAAATATTAATGAACATAAAATTGGTCCACTGTATACATGACTCACATAGCATAGGAGTTTTTGTGTTTGCCTTGTCTAAATATTCTCATGGCTTTTTATGCCTGTTTTCTTTTTCCTGGTCTCCCCGGGATATGCTGAAGTCACTTCGTGCTGCCTTGTGAAGGCAATTGTTACATTTTTTTTTTTTTAAATTGAGATCTGGTTGTTAAATACTGCCAGTATTTAAAAAGATAAAAGAAACATACAATTAAATAAGTTATATTTGAAACAAAGTTGATAATTGAACCTCTGGCCAATCACCAAATAAAAATAATATAAGGTTCCAAATGTGTCCTAAAAGTACGTGAAGCAAGATATGTTTCCTACCAGAGAGTAAAAGATTCTTTTTGCTTATACAAAGATTGATAAAGAACAAATCTAAGACCAAGATTGATAAGCCAGTTTGTGATTTTATATCTATTCAATAGGCTTTCTTTATAAACAACTGAATATATCTAATTTACTCAGAAACTTTTGAAGTTGAGGCTTGTCTCAATTTTAGTTTGAATGAGTAAAAGAATGTATCTCTAGTAAACAGGGGAAAAATGGAAATTTCAGTGTTTTTTTCTACTCAATGCTTTATAATAAATTAGAGTACTGGGGTGTAAGTAAGAGAGCTAATTAACATTCATCAAGTTATATTTGGTTACATCTATTCTCTTCCTTTCTAGCTGACTTACCTTTCCAGTTCCACAGGTTCTTTTCAGTTTAGGCTCCTTGAGATCCTTTATCCTTACAACCCACCCCTCCCCACCAATCCAGAAAGTACCACAAGAATGAGTTAGAAGTAAGTAAGGAAAACAAAGGAATGCTTTGCAACTTTCTTTCTAACTGATCACTGTTTTCTTATTTCTTTCTCTCTGAGCCATTAATTTTTACAGAACCGCTACGAGTACTCTTTTAATAAAAGTATGGCTGCATTTTCTAAATGCATTTAAAGGATAAATGCAGTAGAATTAAAAGTAAACACAAAGTCATGCAGATCCAAAGTGGTTTAAAAGAAAATAAACTGGTAAAGAGACATGCAACGGTAACATGTTATACAACTTTAGTGTGATAACAGAAGATGTATAGCCTTACCATATCCCTTTTTATTCATGTCCTAGGATTTGTTCATAACTTCAAGAATCAAGATGCAAATCATGTTCATAAAAATTTATCCAAGCATGAAAAGCAGGTTGTGAAAGAAAATGTAAAAAACTGTAAATCCGGTATAAATCAAAATTTAGCCAGCTTCCAACATGTAAATGTTTTTCACAGCAGATTGAGAGGAACATCTTTAATTGATAATACCTGGTGCTTATGGAATTAGAGCAGGGATAACCACTTGTGCTTTGCAGACATTATTCTATTCTGAACTGATTAGAAACTCATAAGTGTGTCCTTTTAAAAACATGAGGATTACACAGCAGCCAGTCAGTAGTCTCAATGGGGATGTCCAGTGAAAAGGAGTAGAAAGAATGAAGGATTTTGCTATCATTTCTGCTTAAGTTGCCATTTCAAAGTCCCCATATTTGTATTTTTTTGCTTTGCACTAAAATAGATAAACTCAGATTGCTTCAAATAAGTTAGTTGTTCGAAGCATAAAAGAGAAAGATTGTAACAAAAGCATCCCATTGTTACAAATTCTCACTCTGTCTAATTCCCTTTAATTTTGTCTTTCTACCTTCACCTACCATACACACACGTCAGATGCTTCTCTCCTTTATGATTTCTCTGACTTCATTCCTATGTCCTGACAATTCTCTTCTATTTTAAAATGAAGTTCTCTGGCCTATAGAAAATGTAAATTTGGCTTCCTGTCTATTTTTATGCCTTCCATATAAATGCAGTGCAGCAACTCAGATGGAGGCACTCAAAGTTTTAGACCAAAATCAGAGCAGGAAAAGCCCTTAAAGTTGTGTAGAGCTTCTTCACTTTAATGTAAATATAAAAATGGGCTGGGCACAGTGGCTTATGCCTGTAATCCCAGCACTTGGGAGGCTGAGGTGGGTGGATCACCTGAGGTCGGGAGTTCGAGACCAGCCTGACCAACATGGAGAAACTCCGTCTCTACTAAAAATACAAAATTAGCCAGACGTGGTGGCGCATGCCTGTAATCCCAGCTACTCGGGAGGCTGAGGCAGGAAAATCATTTGAACACTGGCGGCGGAGGTTGCAGTGAGCTGAGATGGTGCCATTGCACTCCAGCCTAGGCAACAAGAGCAAAACTCCGTCTCAAAAGAAACAAACAAACAAAAAAGCCATTTCTTTCCTTCTTGACTCAAAACTGTCTGGTAAAGAGAAGGACCTTTAACTATAAATTTAATCTGATTTTTTGCAATTAAGTATTTCAAAACTTGGGCTGCTATGGGCAGTCAGAAGAAATGTGTGCTATCAAACTCAGGTTTCCAGGTCCAGTATCCAGTCTCCTGCTCCTGCTTCTGGTTGGCTCTCTCTAATCCTCATGTACAATTTCAGTCTGTTTCATGTTGTTTTAAAAAGGATTGTTCAGCAGCATCATACTTAAATATGAAGAGTTGGAGTGCAGTGGTGTGATCTTAGCTCACTGCAACCTCTACTGCCCAGGCTCAAATGATCCTCCCACATCAGCCTTCCGAGTAGCTGGGACAACAAGCATGTGCCACCTCTCCTGACTAATTTTTTGTTGTATTTTTAGTAGAGACGGAGTTTCACCATGTTGTCCAGACTGGTCTTGAACTCCTGAGCTCAGGCGATCCACCCACTTTGGCCTCCCAAAATACTGGGATTACAGGTATGAACCACTGTGCCCAGCCAAAAATTACTTCTTTTTAATGTCATCTTTTTTTAAATGACTCAATAAATGCTTCCAGTAAAAAATTTAATGCATACAACATTTAGGTAATAAAACTAGGGATCCAGTCGACCTTTGGTATCTAGTTTATTTCCATGTAACTCTCTAATATGTGGAAGCCGGGAATATCTTTAGAAAGGCATATTCCAAAGGAATCCTGAAAACATTGAAAATCATGAGCATGTCCCATATATGGTACCTTGGATCTGTGTATAAGGATGACATTTCTATTGCACTTTTTCTTGCTGTCTCCTCTAGTAGCAAGATTATGAATTCTGTTAAGATTTGCTCTAATAACCTATCTTATATTTTTTCTTAAGAAAACATTTTTTTCCTTCCATTATTAAGCTATGCTAATCAGATCTGTTTTACTCCACCTGAGTATGTAACGGCAATGTTGCCTTCATTCAATGAGCTCTGAGTCTCAGAGTCTACTGTGAATCCCCTTCAAATGAGTCATCAGTTTGCTCTCTTAACATACGTCATAGATTTACTAAATGTTTTGTCATCATGTGTGTCATTGGTTTAAGCAACTTCAGTTCATTTCATTGACTTCTTGTCTGACGTTTCTGTTTTTCATGAACTAGAACAGAATGTTTTCCTAGACAAACACTGAGAACTTAGTAAACAGCAAACCAAATAAACAAACAAAAGCTGTGATTAGGCCCTGACTGAGTGGTGTTTTGCATTCATGAACAAGATTGCTAGTATCTTGAGGAATATGCTCTCTTAAAAATTCTGCATCAGTCATCCTTGTATATACTCTTTAGCTCCTCCCAATTCCCTTTCCTGTTACATTTTTTCCCCTAGTTTTGCTTAATGTGATCTAAAATGTTCTTAGACTTTTATATGACTAGACTAAGAAATTCATAGACTTGTTTGAGCCTTATGGAAGATGGAGATGCTTTAGAGGTCAAAGGAATGTTGTACTCATTTAGAGAAACAAAAAAGTTCTTTAGACAATGATTCATCAAGTCACGGTGTGATTCTCTTAAAAATCGTTCATATTAAAGATTTCTTAAGCAGTTACTACATATCAAATGGGTACTAATAAAATGTCCCCTGTCTAGTGAACAGCTGTTCTTATTGGTTAAGCTGATTGAAATAAGAGAGAATTATAGCCAGCTGCAAAACACATTCACGAGTGGTGAGAGAAACTGGCAGCTGTTATTCCACTTGCTATAAATATTTTTAATTAAAATTTGTCCCCTGGTTTTTAATTTGCCTAATAGCAGGGATTTTAGTTAGTTACTTTGGCATAAAGGGATGTCTGTCTCTTCAAAAAGAGCTTTTTAGTTCTTCCATTAACAATGACTGTTAACAACAGTGGCAGCACCCTGCTGGCCAATAGAAAAATGAACTGTGAAACTCTCATTCTTGTCTAGAATTATATTTACTTAGTGGTGTTTTGCATTCATGGGCAAGATGGCTAGTATCTTGAAAAATATGCTGTCTCGTAAGAAACACCAGAAATATTGCATCAAAGTCATCCTTGATACACTCTTTAGCTCCCCCCTACTCCCTTAACTGTTACATTTTGGAATTTCAGTTTTGTTTACTTTTAATACTTGCATTTTCATATAAAAGTTTCTGCTATGGATGGTGAATTCTTATAAAGAGTGAAGATAGTGAATAGAATTACCTTAGAAGTATCTAAATGGGACCACCATTAGCAATAAAACACATACACACACACACAACTCCATACATTTTCATACTGAAATTCTGCCCTTTTGGCTTATAGGACTCTCCTCCCACTCTTGACAGTTCACTTTAATCTCCTCATCCATTTGCTCCTCAAATATGGATGCTATCTAGAGTTTAGTTAACCATGATCTATATATTAATGATGTAAAAAAAAAAAAAAAAATCTCATTCTGTAGCCCGCCTGCTCACCTAAGCACCGTGGTTGTATATCTTGTTCCTGAAGGCACTTAAAAACTTATAAATTTTCTCATGTCTGCTTCTTTTTCTGTCTTCCTCATCTCATTTAATGGCACCACTATGCACCACATCACTGAAGCCAGAAGTCTTGGAGTCACCTGAAACTTCTTTTTTTTTTTTTTTTTTGAGACGGAGTCTTGCTTTGTCACCCAGGCCGGAGTGCGGTGGCGCTATCTCGGCTCGCTGCAAACTCCGCCTCCCGGGTTCATGCCATTCTCCTGCCTCAGCCTCCGAGTAGCTGGGACTACAGGCACGCACCACCACGCCCGGCTAATTTTTTGTATTTTTAGTAGAGACGGGGTTTCACCGTGTTAGCCAGGATAGTCTCGATCTCCTGACCTTGTGATCCGCCCGCCTCGGCCTCCCAAAGTGCTGGGATTACAGGCGTGAGCCACCGCGCCCGGCCCTGAAACTTCTTTTTTCCCCTCATATTCTTTGATAAATCTCATAGTCTCTAAGCCCTAATGATTTACTTCCTAAATATTTCTCAGTTCTGTTTCCTACACCTCCATTTCTATTGTGACAACCCATTATCTGTACTGATTCTTCCTTAGAATATTGAAATAGCCTCCTAACTGGTATCCCTATCCCTTGATTCAGCCCTTCAAATTTATCATCCACCTAAAATGAAATATGACTATATAGTCACTTCCTTGCTTAAAACTGTTCAATGGCTTTCAATCGTCTTCCAAATAAAGTTTGAAATTGTTAGCATGGAATATAAGGCCCTGGCCTCACACTATTTCTTCTGCCACTCCCTACTTTGTAGCTAAGGCTGAATGGTACTGCATTGTGGTAGTTTGTCACACATCATCCTTTGGAAATGTAGCTCAAACATGTCAAAATATAATACTCTGTTTACATGTTTATATCTTGTATGACTGCACAATTCTTTGATCAAGGACTGTTCTTGTGGTAACTGGCATGTGGACAGATGATTCACAATATAAAAAGAAAGAATTTTGAATAGTAAAATCAGATCAGTATTCTTGGGGGTCTTAACTGTATTAATTGTGGAAATGAGAATTTTAAAAAGCACCCATTAGTTTTATTTTAACGAGATGGACACTTTGTTAATGAACGTGAGAGAAGATTTTATCTTTTATTTAAAAATGATATTCAGCCAAAATCATTTATTCTTCTGTAAAATAATGACATGTTGGAATTACTCCTTATTCATTTAATTCATTTCCCTCCAATGACCTAAGACTTATGCTTTAGATATCTTCATAAGATGAATAGCTATTATGATGTGTCATCAATATATTTATTGTTACAATTTAAATAACCTTCAAAACACATTTCTTTACGAAGAAGTTTTATTTGAGCCTTTCTTAGTTGAGAAACCAGAAACTAGAGATGAATCCAAGGATCTGGATGCAGTCAGTAAAAAACACATGGCTGAAAATCTGTTTGATTATATAAGTTGACTGAGCACTACAGGAAAATACAAAAAGCTTCACAGAAAGGAATGTCCCGTGTAATCTAAGCTTTTCTGTATTCATGAATTAATCAAACCTCTTCGTTCTGTCAATCATGTGGGCCAACCTACTGTGGAACCCCTCTTATCACAAATAGATGGAAAGGCTATATACAATATAACCTAATAAACAGACAAGTCTGTGTGTGTGCACACCCCTCCCCACACCTACCCCTCACATATAAATAGCTGATTAAATAAAAATTTAAAAAGGAAATCTTAAATCATCATCAGAAAAGAAAACTTTACAGTCAGTGTAACAGTCTTGTAATCTGATATCTCATTGGATCCTTCATTGGCAGTTAGGATTGGGTAATACCCACGTTAGGACAGCAAATTTGGTTTTTGGTTGTGAACTGAAATACTGTAACTGAGATGCCCATACAAACATATGGAGCATTGTTAAGGCTACGAGATGAGTCACAAGAAAGCTTATCTTGGCCTAAAGCTGAGTGAAAAAAAATTCCACTGGAAAATCTATATACAGGTATGGAATCCAAATTTACATCACTAGTTTTGTGTAGAATTCCTGAATTGAAAAATAACCAACAGCATGGTTCTGGACATTGTTAAACAATAAGTACCTTGAGGTAACCAGCAGAAGCAAATATAAAAATGCTTTGTACCAATAGTTCAAAAAGTAGGATGTTTGGGAATCCCACACTAGAAAAATAATCTTCAACTAAAAGTTAGCTCACAATTTTACAAAAGGTACTAACTACACAAAGAACATTTATTAGGTAAAGTTAGTGGTGATAACCATTTGGAGGATAAATACTCTATAAGAGCTTGGCTAATAGAACAATCTGAAAAATACTATAAAATAAATATGTTCAATGTATTTAAGAGGTAAAAGAACTAGAAACCAAGAAGAATAGGATACTGAAAATAGAGCAGACAAATATGAAAAAGAATCAAATAAAACTTATAGAAATGATACAGCTAAAAAGGGAAATAGTGAATTAAAAGAAACCTCTAAGAAATGGCTTAGAATGAAGCATAAATACAATATCGAAAAGTGGTTAAGAGAAGTGGAGTACAGACTAAGATAAACAAAACTCTAATGAGAATTTCAAAGAGAGAAAAGAAAGAGTGGGGAAGAGATAATATGTAAGGAGACAACAGATGAAGATTTTTAGTAGTAATGAAAATACATGAGGTTACAGACTGAAAACACACGGGTGCTAAGTAGAATAAGGAAAACAGAATCCACATATAGACACATTGTGGTAAAACTACAAAATGTTAAAGACAAAGAGAACATTTTAAAAGCGCAGAGGAAAAATCAAAGATTACCTACAGAGAAAGAATTATTAGATCAATAGCCATGCTGTAATTAGCAACAATAAAGGCAGGAAGACAAGTGAATAGTATCCAGAACATTCTGAAAAAGAATGTGAACCTAGAATTCTGTACACAAAGGAATTTCTTTGAGTGAGAATAAAATAGAAACAGATATATTTCAGGAGGAAAGGAATTGGATCCATAGAGGAAGAGTGGCAGTAGCGAGCAAAGA